AGAGGAGAGGAGAGTTGAATTAGATTATTTTCAAACAACAATGGCCTCACAGAACTGGGTAGCCAGCCAAACAGCTATTTTAAACGGCTGGATGGGGAGGCTTTTTTTTAGCTTGGTCAGAAACTTAGCAGCTTTGGTTTCAAGCTCTTTAAAGTGACAATAAAGTTTTATCTTCTCTCCTCTCCTCTCCTCTCCTCTCCTCTCCTCTATTCCTATTCTATTCTATTCTATTCTCTTCTATTGTGAAGTTCCTTAAAATATGAGGAGAATGAAAACCATCATCTACCTAACTTAAACAACTGAAAATGCAATCACAAAGAGATGCCAGTGGCATCAATGTTAATATAGGTAATGCTGTAAGGAAAACAATACTGGTCCAGCTCATCTTCTTTTTGTAGGAGTAGAACAATGTGATATTTGTCCAGTCTGCACAGCAGTGCCACCCAATGAAAGGCTCTTTAGTTCTTTTGTTCGTGCTCCTCTGTTTGTTGGGAGTCGATCCCTGTCTTTAATATTGGGCCTAATTTAGAATACATAGCTAATATTCTGTGGTACTGATAGTCAGTTAAAATATTCATTTTTTCCCTCTTAGAATCCTACTAACATTCAGTTTAGGTGACCTCTTCCCATCTTCCCTTCTTTTTCTTCCTTCTTTCCCGCTCTCCTTTCCTGCCCCATTTTGGATGCTCAGATGCAAAAGGGGAAACATTTCTCCTTTTGTTTTGCTTTTAGTTTGTTTTGCTAGCTTTCTGCCAGCGAAAACAGAGACCGTTTTCGGCCTAGACTGTCTCCTGGAGCCCTCTGCCAGCACAAACCGAGCCCCTCCCAAGCTCCATTTTCCTTGGCAGAGGCACTGTGGACTGGTCCGCTGTTTCCACGGCTGCCCCGCGAGCCAGAATTAAGCACCTCGTGGGCCAGATCCAGTCCACAGGCTTTGAGTTTGACACCCCTGGGTTAGAAGGTGGGTGCCCAAAGGATTAAATAAATGGCCCAATCTGGTTAGGACCTTTGTGGCTCTTTGAGTGTTTAAAGTTGCCGACCCCTGTTATATTCCAAAGGTGCTTTTCAAAAGGCAGCTGGACTTCCTTGTTTTTTTTCCCCTTTGAAAATGTTCGCTTCTCATCTAAGCACATTTGGGGCAATGATGACCTTGAGAATCTCCATAGACATTCAGTCCTTCATTCTATCTTTAACAGAAGCAGGAGTCCTCGTTTTAATTCTAGCTACTTGGTGGACTTTAGCTTCTGCCCTTCCTGTAAGTGCTGACATGAATGGCATGCTCTGGATCCCATTGATTAAACAACATCATCTGATAGGACTTGGGAAGTGGAGCTTCCTCTGTCCGAGTGTCTGTCCTCTGGAAAAGCATCCCACCCCACTGCAGAGATCCCTCTGATCCCTTCCCAGGGATGGTCTTGAAGGCATGGTGGTCTTGCTAGGTGGGTGGCAGGCCATTTATGGACTATGTATATTAGGATGAATGTTTTATTGGCCTTCCAGATGTTCTTTTTTTGTTTTTCCCCCCACGTATTTATTAGTGTAAGCTGCCTGGCATTGTTATGGAATTAGGGTGTGTGGGTGAGTTATAAATCTAATTGTCAGGGTTCCAAGTAACACCCCCCACAAAGAAGACTCCAAGGTTTGAAGTTCCTCAATGTTCCATTTTATTAGAGATGTCATATTGGCACATCTGGAAAAACCCAAATCTGAAAGCTTCCAGGTTTCCCCCACTCAAATCAAAGTCCAGGTCCCTGCCCAGCACCCACATGTCCATTACATGGTCCAATCAGGCACTGTCCCAACTGGAGATGCCTCCCAGTCCTACCACTCCAGGTGCAGCGTGTCAGCGTTTGTTGCATAAATTCCAATCCAGAAGCACACATTTGATGCAGCTGGATTCATTAACTTCTTTATATACATAAGAATAGATGGATAAATGTACAATACCAACAAGTGGTTCTTCCAAGTAAACACAAGGCAGGAGAGTTACAGGCAAACACAAGCAGTTAGCTTCATTTCAGCAGACAAGCGCAGACAGACTGCTAGTTTACTTCTCAGAGCAGCAGACTGGTTAAGTTTCTGTTTCAATTCTCTGTACAGACTCAGATCTGTTTAAGCTATGCTTATTCATTGGCTGACCTTGTTCCCGTGTCTCTCCCAGTCATGAATATTTTAACACAGACAGAGAAAGGAATGATATTTTGGCTATATATCTTCCATACTCCATATAATCCCCCCGCTCCCAATTTCCCACAGCATTAAATGTGGCAGGCCTGCAGGCCGAATGCAAAAGATGGCTTCCAGGCCTGACGCTAATGAAATAAAACTGTGGGCTTATTACTAGTATTTCTATGTCGTCCTTCAGAACATCTCCGACTTTACGCAAAAAATAGTGTTTTCTGCTGTGATGTAATGCTTTTTCTGGTAGTTTTTAGGATAATCTTGCCTGCTTTTTTTTTTTTTGTACATCTACAG